CCCCAAAACCCCAAAACCCCAAAACCCCAAAACCCCTTGATGGGAATTAATTATTGAAATAATTATTCATAATGAATCTGTTATCAAGTCTTGCTCAAGCTCCTCCACAAAATGAAGATGAACTTAATTATAAACAGGGTATGTAGATATCTAAAAAAGATAGCATTTTGGTCACTTTTTACAACAGTTTCATATTATATTTAGATAAAGAAACCCTTATCCAGCTCAAAACAGATGCAAAGAAGAATATTAAATAGCTTCGAGTCTGAGGTTTTGAGCAAGCCATCTGGAAGAAATACAGGCACCCTTGTTTCAAAAATAGAGCAAACTTTATCAGATATGATTATGATTATCTACAGAAACCGTTGATTTCAAGACTCATACATTGAAATTTTCTTTATGCTATTTACTAAAACGATGATTTTAGAATCAATCAGGTTCAAATAAAAAGCATTTATACAGATCAGCATTAACAGCTTTGGACTCTGTACAACCTCTAACTCCAAAATTCCTGAACTCAAAGAAGCCAGACACCATCCATTACCTCACTAAGATGTACCTGATCTATCAATCACTTCATTTCTCCCTCCAGGAGTACGATAAAGCCTTGAGCTTTGGAAGAAAAGGTCTTGAAATGGCTTCTAAAGAGCTAAGCCTCCGCTTCAAAAAGAAATAGAGAAGATGGATACAACAACAAAGCTAAAATGTATAAAGTCCAAAGAATGTTCGAAACAATAGCCCTACTCTTCTACGACATGTCATTTATCTTTGAAGGGCTTGTAAGTAATACTTGATAATCTGTAGAAAGACTTCCATAGAATGGAAACATGACTTATTAATGGCCGATGGTTCGCAGACCACTTTCTAAAGGACAAGAATGATATCAAAAAGTCCATCTGATTCATCCTCAAGATGTGCCAAGACAAATATTCAAGCAATATCATTGTAGAGAAGCAAAAATAAACGGTTGGAGAAGAAGAATCATGATGGTACCGAAATCAAGAATTTTTCTAGAGCTGCTTCTTTGAGGTAACAAGAAGACTATTATTTTAGAAAATAGCATATCCAACGAATCTAAGAATGAATATTATCCTCGAAGCAAAGGCCCACAAAAGGGGAGAGAGCCATCAAAATTCTTCATGAACTCTTTAAAAGCAGTTAGCTCGTCTTCCACTAATTTCTCTCCCAAACAAAGACCAAAGAGCGCTAGGTTTGGAAAGGTAAATTTTGCTTCAAGCTTTTAGGTGGCCAAAGATTCAGACAAAACTATAAAACTCATGCATATTTTTCAAGAAAATAGGATGAATGAGTCTGGAAATGAATTAATCAAATCAATGATGAATAATTCCCTTTACAGCATTGGAGCTATAACCCATAATTTTGAAAACGCTTCAAGGAATACTAAGTTTAAACCTTCAAAATTTGCACATACTGAGGTTAGCGCTCATCTGATGATGGCAAGGAAATAGCTCAGTATTTTCAGATAAATCTCCTAAAGCACCAAAAAGGTCAAACAGCAAACCTATCAGCAAGAAGACTAATGTCTTAATCCCTCCAGATGTGTTGATCAGATCTAAAATATGAGAAACTCTAAAAATAGACGAGAAGCAGCTTACCACTTCTAGAATAAAAGTTGGTGTTGAATCCCAAGAAGCTTCCAAATAAATTCATGAGATATGCTCATAAATATCACAAAGAGTTAGCCTTCTTAAAGGACGATCTTAGGCAAAGAAAGAAAGAGTCAATGCTTGAGCATTACAATCCTGCTCTAAAGCGGGTACTATCCCAACCTGCCACTAAGATAAATCCTGCAGGGTATACTAAAGAGCGAAGGACTGAGAATAATTCAACTTCAGCCAGAGCAACCCACAAAGAGCACCTAAAATTATCAAAAGAAATTAAGCAATGTAGTCTTTACCACAAGAAAAAGGCAGAGTATGATCTCTTAGTCAAGAAGAGGAAGAACATGCTTAAAGAAATGGATAAAACCAGGAAAGCTAAGAAGGCCAAACTAATTAACATGGCTAAAATTAAGAAGTAATTCTCACCTCATTTCTAGAAACCCTGTGAGAGATGTCAAATTCAACCAGATCTATAACCAAGTCATTGAGCAGTATCCTACCTTGGAGAAAAACTATCTAGATGGAAAGAAGGAGGAAGTTGAGCGGAGAAAGATGATCTCTAAAGCTGATGACATTAAGAAAACGAAAAATGATGAGTTCCACGAGTAAGTTAAAACTCCTAATTTTGATAGAATGATTATGGACCTCCAAAAAGAGATAGCCTTTATGCAGCCATCTGGTCATACAAGTAGACTAAAGACTTTACATTCTTACAAAAAGAAGCGTTTTACTTCTAAATCTCCCTAAATGCTCTATAAATTCCAATAAAAGATGTTTAATTTGGGGTTTTGGGGTTTTGGGGTTTTGGGGTTTTGGGG